GGGGTCATGAAACTATAAAGAGCCAAAAGCAAGACCCAAATCCATTTGGAGTCCTGAGTCCAAATCTGATATTCTTCCCCAGCAGGGCTTGCTTAAGTGCTTAAGTATCACCTGAATGTTTCAGACCATAGGGGAGAGGAAGCCAGTACTCTGGACAGGGGTAGTCAGGGAGAGTTTCCCGGAGGCATGAGCCCTGCTGAGTGGATCATAAGGGCTGGGTCGGGAGAACCCCACTCAACACCATGATCACAGCTGACCACCCTCCTAGACACAAACCTTGTTCTGGTTCTTCTCAGATCCCACCACCAGGAGGAATGCGAAGGCTGGGCCCACAGCGAGAAACCGGTACGCCAGCCAGTGGACCCTCAACAGACCCCACCCCACCGTTTCAACACACACCCTCACCACTGACTGGAGGCTGCCAACACCCAGGGCTGCGGGGTCCATGGACAAGGAGAGTGACAGTTACAGCGTCAGCCCCTCCCAAGACACAGGTAGGGCCTGCGTGCCTCCTTCTCTATCCCGGGACAAGTAGGGCCCACACCCTGTTCCCTTTCGAGGTCAATTTCAAATTGCCAGACCATTTACCTAACAGGTACCGATACAGCTGTACTGCATTGACCATGTCCAGGGTCCAGTGAATTCCGCAAAGCAGAGCCAAAGGAGTCTAGTTTGCAGGCATCCCGAATCTCAGACTCACACTGTTCCCTCTCCTTTTCCTTCCTGCCCTGCCAAGAGAGACATAGAAATTTCTAAATGTTCTCCCTCAAGATTACAATCATTCTAATTATACTCTGAGGGCATCTCACCCACTACTATCTCCAGGATTAAGACATTGCACTTGAAGTTACATGACAAGGTCATAGCACCCTCTATAGGGAACACGGCAGACCCGTTTGACAATTAAACAGGGGTTGATTATAAGGTAAGCCATTCCTACCGTACCATCCACCACCAAGATCTCACTCTGCAGAGAAGACAGAGCCTAAGAATAGCACTGAGTTGCCCACCCCACCAATCTAAAATTTTGAAAAGAAATGATATCTAAACTTAATAGCTGTAGGAAATTTTAATACTCATTTTCTTTTGTTCTGGATGGTATACTTCAAAAATAGTCTTCCAAAAGTGGCGTGTCACCATGTACGTTTATTTTTATGGCAGTTATTTCTCTTACAAGAACCTCAGAGTTCCACAGAGGTCACTTCAGAACTTTTGAGTGGGTTTAAAATGCAGAGAGTCCTCTACCCAAGATGCTCCTTTTATGGTTCTAGAGGTTTCCGGGTCCCCGTAAAGGGTGGCACACACAAAGAATGAGTCCCAGGGTCAGAAGTCATTTGGCCTAGTGAGCAATTCCATGCAGTCACATCTTCATCTCTAACCATCATCCTGTCTTCCTGCCACACAGAGGCCAGAGGAGCTGAGTGCAGAGTTCAGATCATTCCTGCCAGTGAAAGACTCTCTATGGTCCAGGGGGACTTGCAAAACAGGGCAGGGAAGGGGCCACTGCAGTTCATTTGCACCGCATTTCCAGCTGTCTTAACTAAAAGCAGAATTTTTCAAGGTGGTGTATTACTGATCTATGGCAGTGTCCCAGGCTGGGGACATCTGACTCCAGAGATTCTGTTGACACCCCGAGGCCACATGGCTGAGGATCATGAAGGTGGCCTTACAGTGACAAAGGCAGTCCTCAGACAAAGACCGAGCACCCCTGCCGGGCTACCCAGTGACTGGAAGAAATAGACACAAGCCCAGAGCGCCACCCAGCCAGTGCAGACTCACGGTGACACATCATCCGTCTTGTTTTCTCTTTTGCACGGCACAGATCGAGCACGAAGCAGCATGGTCTCCACAGAAAGTGCCTCTTCCACTTACGAAGAACTGGCCAGGGCCTACGAACACGCCAAGATGGAAGAGCAGCTGAGGCACGCCAAGTTCACCATCACGGAGTGCTTCATCTCAGACACATCGTCCGAGCAGTTGACGGCAGGGACAAATGAGTACACAGACAGTCTGACCTCCAGCACCCCCTCAGAATCGGGGATCTGCAGGTTCACCGCATCTCCCCCCAAACCTCAGGATGGAGGACGCGTGATGAACATGGCAGTTCCGAAGGCGCATCGGCCAGGTGAGGCGAGACACGTGTGGACCAGCGGTCGGGGAAGCTCATCTTCCCAAGCCCTTGTTGGTATTTACACTGGGTCTTCTGTTTATTGACTGCCGCATAATGCACCACCCCAAAGCTTGGGAGCTTTTACAACAACAATGATCATTTGTTTCATTCTTGAGTCTGAAATTGAGTCAGGGCTTCGTGGGGACACGCATCTCGGTTACCGCCGTGTCGATGGGGGAGCTCAGTTATGGATAGAGGAGCCACGTTCCAAATAGCTCACTCACCTGGAGGGTTGATGCTGGCCGCAGCTTCCCTACATAGGTTTCTCCACGAGGTGGCTTGTGCATCCTTATGTCATGGTGACTCAGTTCTAAGAGCCAGTGTCCCGAGAGAGACAGTGGAAATAGCCAGTTTCTTAAGGTTGGGCCTGAAAACTGACCCATCACTTCTGCCATATTCTGTTCAAGCAACCACAGAGCTCTGGGAGCCCAGATTCTAGAAAAGGAGATCGTCACCACATGAGAAGTATTGAAAATATGGGGGTGATGTTTTAACACTGCCATGCTGTGGGTTTCAGAAGGAGAGCAGTCTTACCAGGGAGCCAGCCTTTGGCACTTGGCTTCACTGAGTTACCCAAAGTGACAGCAAATGGCTAGTGTCAGGTCGGCCAGTAGTTTGGTGTCTGCCTTGAGCAGTATTCTGGATGTGTGGATGGGAGCTGCAAACCCTAAGGCCTGCAGGGCCTGGCAGATCATGTAAGTGAATAAGGTGGGGGGCAGGGTAAAGGGATGGATGACGACATGGGGAATTCAAGAGCTGAGTGACTGTCTAGGGGAAAAGGACGCTAGCAGCCTCCTGCCAACTGATCCCGAGTGGAAACTGGGGGCCGTGTGAGCGAGTTTCTCAAGAGAAGCCAGAAATTTTGGTGTTATACAGTGACTCACACTTTTCAAGTGTTTGCTCAGATATGTGCAAACCATTGTACGGGGCAAATGAAACACATCTTTAGTTTGGATCCAAACCATGGCAGCCGGTTGTAGTTCTCTTCTGAAGAATCACGTTTTCTTTCTCACCCTGAAGACTTGATTTTGTGCACTGGCCTATCCATTCTTGTGGAATCCAGTTTTATTTCTCGTCTTTCCATTTTCTGAACAGGTTCTATTTCAAAAATATATCTTCATTTTAAATCCCCATGATTCCTTTGGGCTTTATGGCGTAAGGCCAAGCTGAAATGAGCTTTGTAAATGCATAGAGATATATAAAATAAGAATTGTCTATCCAGCAACTCATCTTCCAAACTGAGTCAGGATCCACACCAACCTCCTGTCAAGAGTGAGAGCTTCATTTATTTCCGTGCTCTCTACCTCCTCAGGGAGAAGACTTTATTTGTGGGTGTTTTTATTCAAGGACTTTTTGTTGTTGGCATTTAGTTGCAAGGCAGATGCAGCAAATGTAGGAGAAATGCCATAGCATTTTGTGGCTGTAAACCTCGAGAGTAAGGAAGACAAGAGAGGAGAGAGTGAGCCAGTGGATAGGTTGTTTAGTCTCGCTGGGCTGCAGTTGGCTCATCTGTAAAATGGGCTCAGATGTAAAATGGGCATGTGGCATCGACACCCGCCATCTGGGGTTTGTGTAAGCTGTATGTCGCCTGATGCAGGCGTCAGCAGCATTAGTTGTAGCTTCTGTTGTCGCCTTGTTGACTTGTTGTCAGGGCTCCCACAGTGACTCCAATGATGGTCTGCAGAGGTACTGCTCTCCCGCCTCTTCCTTCCTTCTTTGGTTTATTTTCCTTCCACGGCCATTGATTCCTGGAGAGCATCCGCCTCATTTGTGTATCAATATGACCCAGTTAAGGAGGTGCATCACACTCCCATCTGAGATACATGCCATGCTTCCCCTTGTGTGGAACCAGCTCCTAGGTTAAATGTCCTGTGTGTGCTGGTCTTGAAATAATTAAAGGTTTGTATCTTTTTGATGGCTTGTTGTTCACCGTGTTGGATTCCTATTGGAAAAAACATGTTTGAACTGTTTTCATGATATTGTTGCCTGGATCCATCAGAACAACTGAAAGATCACAAGTAAGGTACTATTGTCATAATATGATATTTAGACTAAAAGGATTTTATAACTGTAGGTATGAGTAACTTTTTAAATCCTTATGAATTCTAATGCCCTCAAACATTGTTTTGTCCACTCTAAATGCTGTATTATTATTACTGGACATTTGATATGCTTTTAGAAAAATATCTCATCCTTCTGGAAGCCTTTCTGTTGCTCCTTCATAATGGAACTAAATTCAACACTGGGCACAAAACCTAAAGTTACAGTTTATTATCCTGCTGACTGGAGACTGTGTCAAAATTAGCAGTTCCTTGAACAGGGCTTCCAAACCAAAGTCTTTACCTGTGTTCCCTTGTGTTTCTAGATGCTATCAGTCATCCAAATCTCTGGATATCTTTCTCCTTGCCATCAGTTCTTTTCTGATGAGTTTTTTTTTTTTTTTTCCATTTACAACCCCAAGCTTTTAAATTCTCTACAAATCAGGACTAAGCTAAATGAATTTGGCCAGATGGTGGCTGCAGGAAAATAGGAAATATGTCTTAGTTATCTGTATCTTTCTCTCCTGGTGTCTAGCAGATATCTGGCAGCATAGCAAGTGTTCAAGAAATATTTTTAACCAGCTTAATGATATTGAATGTATCTACCTAACACTGTGTCTGATGTAGAGCAGGTGTTTAATAAATGTTATTGAATGAATGAATATATCATGATTGTGAAGATGACAAGATTGGCCAATTGGTTCAAATATTACAATGGTTAGAAATTATTAACTAGAAACTATTTCCATCTTTAAAAACAAAAGACAAAGCAAACAAACTAACTCTATTCCTCTGAGAAATAGCTGGAAAATTTAACAGCTTCTTTTCCTCTCGGTCAAGGTGGCTTCTAATACTGCGGTTACGATAGCTGCTTTTGGTTTCAGGTAGCATCTGGAGGCAGTTTCTGATGTTCTTGGATTCCCACTGCTTCTTTATTCATGATGCTTATCCTGTGCAATCAAGAGATGCCACTGCAGGAAGCTACTTGAATCAATTTAAAGCTTCAAATCTGCAACCTAATGCAGCCTGGCCCCGCCAGCAGCAAGGGAAGTGTCCATCCCTTCTGATCTCCCTGAGACGCTGGGACCCCAGCCTTAAACGTCTGCACCTCACTGACCCCCCGCTCCTCCGCCATGATGAATGCAGGGGAGGTTTTCTGGTTGGAAATGGCCATTGCTCGCCACCAACTTATTGGTTCTCTGAACAACCAGTTATACAAAGCAGTTTGAGGGTTTTAATTTTAGGATCAACTCATCACGTACCTCACGCTCCCCTGGGGATGTGTATTTAAAGGGAGAGAAGAGAGTGGAGTGAGAGACAGGGCTGCCACCTGAAGGACCAGCCAGCCTCTGCTCAGGTTACGTCCCCTGCAAAGGCTGGCCTTGCTCTCAGCTGTCGTGTGCACGTGTCATGTACGCACCCACACGTGCACACACACGGACACATACGCACAAGGGTTGAGTTCCCCTGGCCTTCACCCTTCTAGAGATGGCCCTGCTCCTTCGCGCCCACCCCCCCTGCCTCCCCGCCTTTCCTCCAGTGTGTATTTTCTGGCTTCCACTCCACACCTAGCCCTGTTTTCGGAGCTGGGGATACAACGGCTGACAGGACCCGCGAAGACCCTGCTTGGAAGGAGCTTATGTTCCTGGGGGGAGACAGACATTTATCAAGTAAACAAATAGTATTGTCTCAGATCATGGTCAGCGCTGGCAAGGGAAGTAAACCGGGAAGGGGATAAAGTCTGGCAGGAGGTGCTTAGGAGAAGATGGTCAGGGGAGTCCTCTCCGAAGCAGTGAGACGTGAGCTGAGACCTCAGTGGTGGACCGGCAGGCAGACCCGGGCAGAGACCCTGAGAAACAGGGGTCCACGTGGAGGGGAGAGCAGAGATAAAGGCTGGCAGACAGCAATGAGCTTGGCATCCACAGCACAGGAAGAATTTCCTTCCATCCAAGCTGTGTTTGAAAGGTGCAGACTTTCAAACACTCCCCCAGAATTTAAACTCCGAAAGACCCCCCAGGGCCATGAAGCAACATCTCCGCGTATTCACGCAGCTCTAGGTAGACCTTAACATTTGAATGGGCTCATTCTGACTCCCTCCTAGAAAACCAAACCTTTCTGATGTGCATTTGCAGTTCTGTCTTCTTAAGGACCCGCCTGTAACTTCCGTCTGTTCTTTGTCGATGTCCCTCAGACACAGGAAGTGATGGCGGAACTTGTTCTGAGGGTCCCGAGCTTGGAACCCTGAGCGCGTTTGCCTTTCCCAACCATCTCCTCCCCCCTGCACGGGGCACAGGTGCCCGAGCTTTCCTCCGACCTTGCCATGTGCTCTGGCTGTTTTCCTGTGGCCGCAGCTATATGGAGATTTACTCTTTTGTTCTCACTACATTCTCTCTGACTTCTGAGACCATTGGCGGCTCGCTGCTTTCCTAGGTGGACATATTGGGGTTCTGCTCTCATTGTTGGGGAGCCTACAGGGGGTGAAAGTGAGGGGGAGACCCGGGCCTGTGACAGAGGGGCAGGACGGCCACTTGTGTCCTGCTGAGTGACCAGAAAGCAGCTCTGGATTCCAGTGTGTGGATTACAAGCAGAGGCTCACCGCCATGAAGGAAAGTCCACCACATCTCCAGAAGGGCCCTGTCAAAACACAAATGTCACGCACTTGTTTGTTCAACCCATCTCTACTGAGCATCTTCCCTGCAAAAATACCATGCCAGGTATTACCTGAAGACATCAAAGTGTTAATATGTTAAACCAACACTTCCCACAGCCTCCTTGTTTATCAGAAAAGCACACAGTGTCACAGACAGCAGACAGTGTCCCAAAGACAGATCATTGAGGAGGTCCAAGAAACAAGGCAAAACCCAGCTTATGGAAGACAGACACCCCCTCCCACACACAGGAACACACACACACACA